AATTTATTAACATGAATTGTATATTTGTTTCAGTGAATTTCATTGGAGCCACCGTCAGTTGTGTGGTCTTAGGCATGTTATTTGGCCTCTCTCTGTGCTAGTTTCCTCGTCTGCATAAGAGGTTAGTGGTAATTCATGCAGGTTGCTTAGCACAGTACTTGGTACACAGTAAGCCCGCAGAAAACTGTAGCTATTATTGTCATTATTCATTGCTGTTACATGTAAACCACCACCTCGCCGTATTGGGGGAAACAAAAAATGCAGAAGACTCGATCTCGTGCAAGAATTATTCAAAAATATCACTTGTCTATTGCCCAGGGGTTAAGGTCTTCTCCTGGTTGTCAGGGGAAGGAACGGTGACAAGGAGCAGGCTGAGGCTAATGGACCTCAATTCTCTGGCCTTGAATTTGAATTTGGTTGCTCTTCTTAGACAGTCACCTCATGATGGTGAGCTCTCTTTCCTCATCTTTCACACCCCCATCTCAACCAGGATGGTGGTCAGCTTTCTTGTTTCTGGAATAAACGGACTGAACACTCTTTTAAGCTAAAGGTTAAGTGGCGTTTTGAAACTATAGAATGCATTCATCTAATGGAAGGACAGGTTTGGCCGTGGAGACCCCTGAAGTCTAAGTCTCTAAAAATAGAGCTACCCTACGACCCAGCAATAGCACTACCAGGATTTACCCAAGGGATACAGGAGTGCTGATGCATAGGGGCACATGTACCCCAATATTTATAGCAGCACTTTCAACAATAGCCAAATTATGGAAAGAGCCTAAATGTCCAGCAACTGATGAATGGATAAAGAAGATGTGGTTTATATATACGATGGAATAGTACTTGGCAATGAGAAAGAATGAAATCTGGCCATTTGCAGCAACGTGGATGGAACTGGAAGGTATTATGCTAAGTGAAATAAGTCAGTCAGAGAAGGACCGATATCATATGTTTTCACTCACATGTGGATCCTGAGAAACTTCACAGAAGACCATGGGGGAGGGGAAGGAAAATAAAAGGTTAGAGAGGGAGGGGGGCAAACCATAAGAGACTGTTAAATACAGAGAACAAACTGAGGGTGGATGGGGGGGAGAGGGGAACATGGGTGATGGGCATTGAGGAGGGCACTTGTTGGGACGAGCACTGGGTGTTGTATGGAAGCGATGAGCCATGGGAGTCTACCCCCAAAACAAGAGCACGCTGTACACGCTGTATGTGAGCTAATTTGACAATAAATTATATTTTTAAAAAAAACCCTGAAAAACATAAAATAAATAGCAGAAGAACCAATTTAACACCTTGAAATATTTTTGCCTGAATCTCTGTTGGAATTGAGGTTTTGATGTGGTGGGTGGGCCTACAGAATTCATTGGAATTTCTTTTGCTTAAAAGGAAGAAATAAGACCCTTCTGGATGTTTCTTGGGCTGTTGTGGTTATGCACCTGGGCCAGGGTTGAGTTAAAAGGAGGGTAGGCAAGTGAGAAAAAGAGAAAAGACAGCTCTGTTGCTTGACCTTGTGATGGGGGCTATGGAAGGAGATGTAAGGAACTCATCTGCATATGAGCCTGAGTTCTGTTTTTTCCTTTCCCTTCTATGCCCAGCTGGCCAGAACCATCTCCTCGTGCCCCACTGGCTACCTCCCAGAGGAAGTGATGAGCTGCCAGCCTCCCTCACTCTCTCGCTCCCTAAACCTCATCAATAGCTCTGGGTCCAGCTGTTGACGTGGATTTCTTCCTCCCCTAGGTCTCCACAGTCTCTTTTTCCGCTTCCTGTTTAAAAACATCATTTGTTTCGTCCTTTGTCTCTCTTCTTCAAGGGAGAAGTGGACAGAGGCTTTTCCTTGGTCTTTATCTTGCCTCCATTTTCCCCCCCTAAACCAAGATTCTTGGGCCTGGAATATGAGAATGTTGAGCTCCGAATCTGCAATTCTCATAGCAGCTCTAATTTTGTCTGGTACTGTGCTTAGGATGGGTTGAGGCATCTCAATTATGTACTCAGGCCTGAATGCCACCCCTTAAATCTCTTGTGTCCCTTGATTTTATATTTTTTATTTTTTCTTAAACTAGGCTCCATGCCCAACGTGGGGCTTGAACTCACGACCCTGAGATCAAGAGTCACAGGCTCTACTGACTGAGCCAGCCTGGCGCCCCGTGTCCTTTGATTTTAAAAGCAAGAGTGCGTGCAGGCGGCACCTTTTGTATTTTTAGAATCCAAAATATTGGCCTGTAAATGTTGGGAATTAAGACATTCACCGTGAGACCTACCCTTTGTGTGTGGAAGGGATGGAGGTGGACTACAGCTCAACGCATTTGAAAATTGTATTTCTAGGGGTGCCTGGATGGCTCAGTTGGTTACACGTCTGACCTCAGCCCAGGTCATGATCTCACGGTTCACGAGTTCCAGCCCCGCATCAGGCTCTGTGCTGACAGTGTAGAGCCCGCTTGGGATTCTCTCTTTCCCTCTCTGCCCTTCCCCTCCCTCCCTCGAAAATAAACAAATAAACATTTTTTAAAGTTAATTCGCCATACGTTCAGAGCTGGCATTTGCTCACAGGTTGCGCCACAGGTTGGCAAACTTGGTTTTGAAAGGAGACTGGGAGAAATCAGGGCGGTTATGATGGAAGCACACCCGGCCTTTTGTGGAAAGGGTACAAATCGCATAACTCTCTCAAGGCCCGAAATTGTAAGCACCAGGAGGTTGAATGTCTGTAGGGGAGGTTGGTAACTTTTCCTATTTTCCTAGAAGTAAAATGACTCGGCGAGGAGTTGGGAACTTTGAGTCTCCAGCCCTTTGGAGAAAAGAGTTCTAGGCAGGATGCAGGTGGCAAGCGCTGAGGCACTGAGCCTGAGCTGGCGTGTGCTGCCCAGAGCTGGATGATCTAGGTCTCGGGGGAGGGCACGGCCACCCGGGGGCTGAGGAACTCTGCGCACTTTCTTGAGCTGCCTGCTCCACTGTTCTGGGCCTATGTCCCAAATCTGTGAAATGAAGGGAGTGGACTGGATGACCTTGAAAGCCCCTTGCGGTGCAGAGACTACTGAGGTTTCTTCCCCTAAGCCGGGTACAGAAGAGAAAGGTACTTGGCTTGGAAGAGCCACGTGGCACAATGGGACTGGTTCTCCGTGGATGCCCGTCTTTTACCGCAGGGCCAATGAGCGTTTGTCTCACTTGCCGAATTAAAAAAACCTCATGTGAGAGTTCCACAAAGGAAAATGAGAATATGGTTCCTAAGATGATCTGGCCGAGGCAAGGACCGGCTCTCGCTGGGACACCTTACCGCCTGGGCTTAATGGGGGTGAGCAGAAGTCTCACTGAACCCCGATGAAGGTAATGGCACGCAGCATTCCTAGGATGAGGGCTATGTTACCATAGCAACTGACTCCCGAGGTGTCCGCTCCAGGCGTTGAGAAGCCCAGGCCACATGTGGGCTACAGCAGGTCAAATGAGGCCAAGTTTAGCTTCCCTAGCAGGAAATGCAGTGGAGGATTCTATTTTAGCTCTCTTATTTCACCTCCGGGACGCCAACGTTTCCCAGAGGTATCGTATCAGCACCAAACGACTGCATGGCAGGTCAGCACATCCACGTGTGTGCTCCGAGGACGCCCGATGATAAGCACGACACCCCATCACCTCAATTCTGGCAAACGTATTTCTGTTCTTTTTATTATTTACTTATTTATTTATTTAAAGCAGGCCCCATGCGGGGTTTAAACTCACGACCCTGAGATCAAGACCTGATCTGAGATCGAGTCAGACACTTAACCAACTGAGCCACCCAGGCACCCCAAAACATTTTTTCCTGTCCTTTTTAAAACAACTCAGAACGGGGTGCCTGGGTGGCTCAGTTGGCTAAGCGTCTGACTCTTGATTTCAGCCCAGGTCATGATCCCACAGTTCGTTGAGTTCAAGCCCTACGTTGGGCTCTGTGCTGACAGATCTCTCCCTCTCTCTCTGCCCCCTGCCCTGCTCGTGCTCTAATTAAATACATAAACTTAAAAAGACTAAAACGACTCAGAACAAACTCCATTTCCCCTACTTTGTATGTAATCGCAGTGACTCTTTGTTTAAAAACTTACTTTTCACACTTACCTAGGAAAATTTACATTGTTTGATGTGAAAAAGATTTAGAAACTTTAGAAAGATCCAGAATGTTTAATTACTGTAAAATGCTGAAACTACTGTATGCTCCCCTCCCCGAGACTGTGTTTATAACTTTTCAGCCCAAACTAACATCTACAGAGAACAGAAAAGGGACTTGTTATTCTCGCAAGCAGTCTGAGCATGAAAAAAGAAATGTTGTTAGTGTGTCAGACTAGATATGAATGTTAACTGCAGGATTTGGGCTGAGTGCCGTCTGGCTTTCAGTCTCAGCATGGCAAAGCCACGTGTTCGACTAAAAATTTTGTTTTGGGGCACCTGGGTGGCTCAGTCGGTTAAGCACCCGACTCTCAGTTTGGGCTCGGGTCGTGATCTCATGGATGTGAGATCGAGCCCCGTGTCTGGCTCTGCACCGGGCTCGGAGCCTGCTTGGGATTCTCTCTCCCTCCCTCCCTCTCCCTCTCTCTCTGCCCTTCCCTTGCTTACGCGCACATGCTCTCTCTCTCAAAATAATAAAAATAAAAATATTGTTTTCAAAATCATCTGGTGAGGGTGGCAGTGGGCATGCACAGGTGCATTCCTGAGTGTTCCTCTCTCTCAACAGGGGCCGCAGCAGGTTGGACTTTTAAACAGGTTTCCCTCAAAGATACCTAATGGGTTATTCATCCTCTGAAACCTCTTGAGAGTTAAAAGGAAGGCCTGGTTTGGAGGGCCCAGGGGGACTGTGGCTTCTTACTGGGATGTAAGAGCTGCTGACACCCTGAATACTGCCATGATATTTTCGTCTATAGAATTAAGGAAAATTTAGACAAACTGGGTCCAAATTCACTAAAACTCCATACCACCAGATCTACACCCCATCTGCATGACTGCACTCACATACATACCATGGAACAAAAATAACAAACTCATCCCGGATTTTGTTTTTCACAAATAATCTCTTAATACAACATGACCTGCTACCGTCTCAAATGGTTATCTTTTGACGCACGAATTAGACATCGCTGCTTGAACAAATGAAAGAATATTTCAAATTAACACAGGTAAGAATCTGGCATAAATTGAAACCCTCCCCCTACCCAGCACCAAATTCCATAAAACCCATCTCTTCAAAATAGTACCACCAAAAAAAAAAAAATAAAATAAATCCTTAGATGTTAGAAAGTCCTCGAGAATATTCACTCATAGAGCTCAATCTGTGCCGTATCTTCAAGGTATATGTTTGTATGCAATTCTTCTCTAAGCTTTTCACCATTCTTAGCTCAGTGAAACTGTATTAAAAATTGTTCTTGGGGCGCCTGGGTGGTTCAATCGGTTAAGCGTCCGACGTCAGTTCAGTTCAGATCTCATGGTTTGCGAGTTCAAGCCCCGCATCGGGTTCTCTGCTGTCAGTGAAGAGCCTGCTTCGGATCCTCTGTCTCCCTCTCTCTGGATCTCCCTCGCCTGTGTTCTATTGCTGTCAAAAATGAATAACTATTTTAAAAAATTGTTCTTAGGGTTGGGGTGCCTGGGTGGCTCAGTCAGTTTGACATCGGGTCATGTCATGATCTCATGGCTCGTGAGTTCGAGTCCCACATGGGGCTCTGTGCTGATAGCTCAGAGCCTGAAGCCTCCTTCCGATTCTGTGTCTCCCTCTCTCTCTGTCCTCCCTCTCTCGCATTCTGTCTCTCTCTCTCTCTCAAAAATAAATAACGTTAAAAAAGAAAGAAAAAAATTGTTCTTAGGGCACCCTGGTGGCTTTTGATATCTCTCTCTCTCCCCCTCTGCTCCTCTCCCCGACGTGCACTCTTCCTCTCTCAAATGAAAAAAAAATGGTTATTTCCCAGGTTTTGGCACCAAAAAAAATTGTTTGCTTCAAATTTTTCAAAATGTTTATTTTTGAGAGAGACAGAGACAGAGCATGAGCAGGGGAGGGGCAGACAGTGAGGGAGACACAGAATCCAAAGCAGGCTCCAAGCTCTGAGTGGTCAGCATAGGGCCCAACAAGGGGCTCGGACCCATGAGCCATGAGATCATGACCTGAGCCGAAGTCGGACGCTTAACTGACTGAGCCACCCAGGTGCCCCTGTTTGCTTCAGTTTCTAAACAAATCTCCAGTTTCCTCCAACCCTCCACTATAATGTTTTCAGGCTGACACATGAGAGTTTCAGAACATTAAAAGTAGGGCTGCCACTTTCTACAATGCTTTACTACAGACTAAAACAGCAGGAGAACCAGGCACTTGGACTTTAAAGCCGTCTCCCTGCATTCATCTTGGTGTAACTAAACAGACATTAGTTATTCATATCGTGTGTTCTCTGTATGTGAATAATTCCCTTACCCCAAGGCCTAAATGTACTTTTGTGTGTGTGTGGATTTAGCTAAGAACTTATGCCTGGTTTTAAATATTTAAAGTAACAATACAGTCGAACCCTCTCACAACCTAGGTCCTTTGTGTGTTAATGTGCATAGTTCCCAGGTTTAACTGAGCCCAACATGACTCCACACAGAAATGCTCCCTAAAAGACGTGTTAGAAGGAGTTGAGCTTGGGGCACCTGGTTGGCTCAGTTGGTTAAGTGTCCAATTTCAGCTCAGGTCATGATGTCGGGCTCTGTGCTGATGGTGTGGAGCCTGCTTGGGATTCTCTCTTCCCACCCCACCCCCCACCTCTCAAAATAAATAAACTTTTACAAAAAAGGAGTTGAACTTTATCCACCCTTGATTTTGTACAGGGAATTCGAAGAAGCAGTTTGGTTCTCTTTTACTGTTTTCCTTTAAGAAATCAAGATCCTTCTGGTAATGGGCAATTTTCACAAACCGGGGTGTACTTATCCCAACTTCCATTCACCAAAGATCTAAAGTTCAAAACTTATTTCCCAAACATGGAAAAGGTAACCGAAGCAACAACTTGAGAATGTCTAGAACAAAAGTGTCCAAGACCCAAAGCAGATTTTAAAACGGCTGCCCAGCCACATTGCTTTTTTCAAGTTTACTGACCTGTGCCTCGGTTTGAGTCACATCCATACATATGGTAATCTCCTTTCTGAGGGAAGAAAATTGCCAATATTTAGTATCTGGAGTTGTGGATGAAATGAGATATACAATGTACAGTTCATGCTTGTTTTTAGATTTCTATTTTCCCCAATTCCCCAGCACACATTTCTGTAATAACCAAGTCCGGGCTTGCTTCAGGGACAACTTTCCTTTGTGAGCAAAATTTCAGGGTACGTTGAAAAACTCAGAGTTCAAGATCAATATAACTTGAATCAAACGGATGCACAAAAAATTCCGGGACGACCAAATTATCAGCATTTAAAATAAAGACCAGATCCAACCCTGCACTTGCATGAGGGTGCCTGACTCCTCATCCTGATCTCAATCCTGAGCCAAGAGAATGAGATTTAGGAAAACAGGAGCGCGGCCCAAGTTTCTTGACGATTCATTTACATACTGCAGGAAAATATTTACCTCGATGCCCAGCCCTGTAGGCATCACTCCCACCTTGGACGGAGCTCAAGGGCTGGCAGATTTCGGTGGCTTCCAGCCCATAGGTAGCTTTGGCTCTGGAAGGGAGGGAGAGAGACCCGGGAGAGAGTCAAAGGCGTCCCACGCCGCCGAGCCCCTAGCGTCCTAGAGAACTGGGCGCCTCCAGAGCGAGCCACTCACCGCGCGAACACGTCGGGGTACTGGGTGCGTTGGAAAACTCTCTCCAGCTCCTTCAGTTCCAACCGCATGAACAGGTGGTGGAGGCGTGGCTGCCTGTCCTGGGGCTGCGGATCCTCGGTGGCCGCGTGGGCCTCCTGCTGCTGCTGCGGGGGCTCCTCTCCGCCGCCGCCGCCCTTCTGGATCTCGTCTACGGGGCCGGGAGCTCCCGCGCCGCCGTGGCTTTCTTCCCCTTCTGCTGCTGCTCCCCGCTCAGGTTCGGACAGTAGATCCTTCCCGATGTCTCCTCCAGTTACTGAGATCACGGTAGGCTTCGCGTCTGGAAAAGAAAAGAGCGTTCACTGCGTTGGAGCCCAGGGTGCGTGGGGCAGCGACCCGAGAGCAGCGACGCTGGCCGCGCGTCCCGTCCCCTCGCCTCTCCCAGGGAAAGGGCGTTTCCCACGGTTCGCCAAACGGATGTCCCGGTTCAGGCCCCGACCCTGCCGTTCTCGGAACTCATCGTCTCCCAGGCTTTGGGAAGCGGTGTCTTCTAGGGGGCTCCCGGGCGGAGGTTCCATGTCCCGAGCGCTGTCGACGCAGCCGTGCGCCTTTATAGACTCCGCGCTGCGGCCCGCGGCAACCCCCCGGGTCGGGTCGTCTTTCTGGCACGGGGTCCGGGTTACCGCGCGCCTACCCCTGGATCAACGGTCGCTCGCTTAGAACGCCCACTACCCCGGCCCCTGCGTGCGTGGTGGGCGGGACCTGCCGGGGAGCACACGAGGCTGGGGCGTGGCCACGAGGTAGGCGGAGCGCTTGCCGGAAGCGTGCTGCGGGAGGGGGCGTGCCCGAGGGCTCTAACTAGCCGCTTACCCGGGGCATTACCCTGGGGCAGGGGCCTTGCTGGGCGGTGCCAGCCAGCCGGGGGCGGGGCGGGGGCGGGGCACGAAACCTCCCACCAGCCCCCAGAGCCCTGAGAGAAGTGTGGCGAGAACGTCTCACCGCCGGGCTGTCGCTGCACCGAAGTCGGTGCAGGGCTGTCGCCCTAAGCTCCTCCAGGGCGAGGGACTCAGAGGGAGGGCTGGAGACAGCGCGGGGCCCCTGGCAGCCCCAGCACGGAAGCGACGGTGGTCCCCCTCGCCGTGTGGGCTCTGAGCGCGCCACTCCCCGCCGAGAAGTCGGTAGTTAATGGACGGGACTCTCTGGTTCGGCTCCCTTCGCACCCAGAGCCCACGAGCCGGGCTGGCGATTCAGATGAAACGATTAG